CGAGAAGACGAAGAGAGAGAGACGAGATGTTTCTTTGTCCTGATTTATGCTTAATAAATCTGTAGTTGTAGTATGCTTTCACAAGCCTCACGCCTATTCTGTGTGCGCAGTTCTGTGTGCTGATAGTGTGCCCTGCCTTTGAAGCCCGGGTCGCTGATTTACTTCAGAGCAGAGGCCGATGGTCTTCGCAGCGGGATGGCTGGAAGGAGACGGCCCAGCTGGGGCTAGCCAGCTGGCCTCCTGGCCCTCTGCATGTTGACAAAGACACCCCCCCTTGACCTCACTGATGTGGTCCAAAGGAAAGCAATATGTTTGGCACCAGCACCTTTGCATGGTTTCGGGGTGGGAATGTTTTTCAGCCCTGCCTGCAGATGCCTGGGACTGACACTGGGCCCTCCTGCATGCAAATATGTTCGACCGTGGAGCTACAAACCCTTCCTCACTTTGCACCAGTGGATAATAACTCCTGACAACCTTACGCCTAAGGTAGCTGAATACAAGTTCTGACCGTAGCAAGACCTGAGCCCTTTCTTAACTGCAAAGCAAGTCAGAAATGTGCCACAATGAATAAACTTTATGTCTGGAAAAACTAGGTTTTACCAGACCAGGCTCCAACAGCCTGCAATTTTAAACACACTTATTAGGGACAAATTGCCATTGAATTCAGTGAAATTAAGAAGTCAGGCTGTACAGTTGCAATTCTAAGACAAGTCCCACTAAACCTGCTCAGGATTGTCTGAAATTCCATGCACACTTTATTTAACCCAGTTTGGCACCCACCCACTCACGCATTTGTGTGTACACACACACACACAGAGAGAGAGAGAGAGAGAGAGAGAGAGAGGCTGGGAGCCTCAATGGCACCCCTCTGGAGGTTATACCTGAGGCAAAAAAACCCAGTTAGCCCCCCCCCCCCGGTAGCAATGGCTCTGGGCAAAGCTATACATTATACAGTGGTACCTTGTGTTAAGAACTTAATTTGTTCTGGGGGTCTGTTCTTAACCTGAAGCTGTTCTTAAACTGAGGTACCACTTTAGCTAATGGGGCCTCCTGATGCCACCGCGCTGCTAGTGCGCGATTTCTGTTCTCATCCTGAAGCAAAGTTCTTAACCTGAGTTACTATTTCAGGGTTAGTGGAGTCTGTAACCTGAAGCGTCTGTAACCTGAGGTACCACTGTATTGCCAGAGAGGTTCCCAAACCCATGTGTGCAGAGGAGTGTGACAACTTCCAGGATAGAAATGGCCAAGTGAGTGGGGCTGCTTAACCCTTCTCTCTACCTGTCTGCCCCCCAACCAACCCATCTTCCCAGCTGTTTCACTGCAGCCTGACTTATTTCTGGAACTGGGAGTCAAGGGGATGTGGGCAAAATAGCTAGGCAGGAGGGGTTGCAGGGGAACAGGGAGAGCCATGGGGAGAGCTGTAGACTCCATCCCATCTGCTGCTTCTCCTCTGAAAATATATCTCACGCCCATCGCCCTGCATTTGTGGCCCTCATCAAACCCAGTGGCTGGAAACTTGTGTTAACAGATGGAATATATATCTACACCCTAAGCCTTGCTGAATCCAGGGCCAAACTAGATGTGGCATGAAGTCATTTGCATCTTTCGTCTAACATATTTGTTTACAAAACTAGAAGGCTCTCTGGAAGGCTTAACCCTTTCCCCTCCACCCGTTGTTGTTGACTTGCTTTTGCTCAAAATTGCCTCTCCTTGTTGGTTTTCTGCCTACAGGAGGAAACATATGCATGTCTGTATCTCTGCTATAAAGGCAGCTGCTGGGTGATTTTTAGAGGGGGAATGGTGAGTGGGGAAAGGATTAAGCAGACCCTCATACCTCATCTAGTTTGCACATTAGTGGCAATTTTGAGTTTTGGTTTAGAGTGCAAGTATGCACAAATAAGAGAAACTTCTTTTTTTGTGCGCAGAAAGGCCTTGCAGAGAAAACCATTTTTGGTTGTTAGTAAGTTTCTGAATAAACCTAGGGTAATTATTGCCTTGGATATCTCTTTGTCAAATTCATCTCTGTTAGCCAAATCCTAGAATAGATTCTACTACATAAACTGAAGCTGGTGTTTATAGATGCTGCTGAGATATAAATAGACTTCTGATGGCAGGCTGTGTAATAGGTTTTCCATTTTCATAATTTGGAGACAGCCAAAGAGCTTGTTAGTGGGGTGGGGTGAGATGAAGAAACTCTGAAGCATACATAGATGCAACTCAAGGTCATGTCCAAGAAGCTGGAATACAACAAGTATTTCACACACTGCAGATTTTTCTATCCAGCCACCCAAAGTTTATTATAAATCCTGCAAGTTCACCACACCCTGAACCAAATTAGGGAAGCGACTCAGATTGGATGTGATTTGTTAAGATTGCGAACATAAACTCACCAGCTGCAGCTGAGCTAACACACCCCTTGGTAACCTCTAGATTAGATTACGGCAGTGCACGGAAGCTGCCTTTGAAGAGACCTTTGCTGTTCACTACCAGCCTCCACCAGCCAAAGGTCTCCCACACCCTCAAGCGACTTTCCCTTTGTTCCGTACTGCCTCCCAGAACCCCTGTGTAACGCCACCTCTCATTCTTCCATCAAATACCTCCTCAAAATCCACCTCGTCCGTGAAGACTTTGGCTCAACCCTCGATTTCCCATGCCCTCCTGCAACTCAACCTATAATTAAGCCTAATGCCCTTAAATTAATCCTGAGCAATTGCATATTCCTTCCCTGCTTATCCCTGCCTCCCCTCCCTCTGCTGTTTCCTCTGTGTCAAATTGTAGATTGCAACCTCCCTGGTGCAAAGACCCGTCTTGTTGACCTGCGCTCTGCAAGATGCCATGTCACACCGATAACACCACATGCGCAGGCCTGCTGAGAAATTGCCACTGGTTCAGATTTTGGTGACTGGTACCAGCTGAGAAAATGAGACCAATTGTGAAGGAGCTACACTAAGTTACTGGTGACTTTGTGGGCTCAATTCAAAGTTCTGCTGTTGCCCTTTTGATCCCTGTAACATCCGGGTGCAGGGTGAAGAGAAAGCCTGCTAAAATGTGCTCCCTGCCCTCCTGAATGTCTTCTTCTCCTCCTCCTTCTCCTTCTCCTTCTTCTTGGAAGGCCTTGCTTAGTGTTCTCTCACCATAGGAATCTCAAGCTTGGTGAATAGATGCAGTGCTTGGGCGTGTTCTGCACGTGCAATGGAATGAGGTGGCAGAGCAGACTGTACCACTTGAGATTGTAGGTTGTAATGGGTGGCTACCACTTTTCAAAAGCTTTCCCACAGATGAATCTTAGTTCCAGAAGCAAACAGGTGGAGGTCATAGAAGGCTCTACCCTGCCCTTGGTCCATGGTCTGACAGTTCTCTACAGTGGTACCTCAGGTTACAGATGCTTCAGGTTACAGGCGCTTCAGGTTACAGACTCCGCTACAAAAATAGTACCTCGGGTTAAGAACTTTGCTTCAGGATAAGAACAGAAATCACACGACGGCGGTGCGGCAGCAGTGGGAAGACCCATTAGCTAAAGTGGTGTCTCAGGTTAAGATCAGTTTCAGGTTAAGAACGGACCTCCAGAACGAATTAAGTTTTTAACCCGAGGTACCACTGTACTTGCAAAGAGGCATTATGTCGTTTTTACGGAGAGGAATATTCCCTTGACCTCACAGGTGGCTGAAGGGCAATGGCACAACACCAGAGGTGCAAGAGGTGTAGGGATGTTGCAGATTTCTGTCAGAAATGGAAACACGAGTGGAAATTGCCACAATTCACATATTCGCCCAAGGTCAGGAACAGAAATTGCACAAGCAAATCCAAACGGTCATCGCTAGTGTTTCTAGGTCTTTCTTCCACATACCCTTTTGCTTCTTATTCATTATTATCAATAGTGAGTTATTACAAGCCTTTATCTGTGCAAGTGAAGTACCATGTATATTGATAGTGTCATATAATTCGTGTTAAGCATCTATCTTTTATGATTTTACATTTGTCTCCACAGAAAGCTGGTCTACTTCCCCACCACAAGACACCCCAGCATTTCATCAGTAGAATGCTTGCCATGGTCCCTTCACACACACCCCTTCAATAAAATATTTGAGGGAACTGCCCCCCACCCCAAGTTGATGGGCACTGCCATTCAAATGCTGTGGGTGCACTGCATCAGGTGATTTGATTGTGCAGGGCGGGGTTTACCTCCCCCCAATTTTATTCAATCTGGCACCCCTGATTGATAGAACAGAGAGGCTTCAGCCTTCTGCAATATTTAACACCAAAAACGAACAGGCCATTAACACCAGGTTTCCTGTCTGCTGGAAGCTGTCTGCACTGAGCCATCTACACTGGTACCTCGGGTTAAGAACTTAATTCGTTCTGGAGGTCTGTTCTTAACCTGAAACTGTTCTTAACCTGAAGCACCACTTTAGCTAATGGGACCTCCTGCTGCCGCTGCTGCATGATTTCTGTTCTCATCCTGAAGCAAAATTATTAACCCAAGGTAATATTTCTGGGTTAGCAGAGTCTGTAACCTGAAGCGTCTGTAACCTGAAGCGTATGTAACCCGAGGTACCACTGTACTCTGAACTGGGGGCGCTGGCTCTGGGTATGTAGCAAGGTGTGAGTGTGGTGGGGTGGATAACACTCTGCACATGGGCAGGAGCACTCTCCACGTTTCCATCGCTTGCCGATCCAAGAGAGTTTACAACTGAGCTGCGTCCCCAAAATGGGAACCAAGAGAAGGGCGATGCTGGATGGCTCTTGGCGGGGAGGAACGAAAATCTGGCCCCAGACGGGCGGAAACTTCAGCTGCTGTGTCTTCCTCTCCTGCAGCAGGAAGCTCTTTGAGAAATGCGTCGGACGGAGAGGCAACCGGGGCGAGAGGCCTTCCTGCTCCGCCTCCCGGGGCTGCTCTGAATGCCCCGATTCCTTGCCGGCGCAGCCAGCAACGCGCGCCTGTGACGCGCGGGCGCGGGCGCGCGGCTCCCTCTCGCCTTCCCACCTCGCGGGCCACCTTGGAGGAGCGGCTGCTCCGAAGGCAGTCACGGGCACAGCCGCTCCGGGAGCCGCCGGCAGCGGAAGCAGCCGCCTCCCCGTCCGCCCGGCCAAGACTAGAAACGCCCCCCCAGGAGGCACCTGCGCCGCCCTCTGCAACAGCGCCAAATGCGCGCCGGGAGGAGCCGGAGCCACCCAAGGAGCTGCGGCGTTCCCGGCTTCGCCTCCGCTTTCGACTTGTGGCTCCTTCTCCCCACGGTGGGTTTTCCCTCAAAATCCGAGCCTTCGTAGACGAGGCTTTCCGGGTTTCTCCCGCGTTGAGATCCATCCCGGCAGCTTGGGCGCCTGGATCCCGACCTGGAGGGTTCTTTCCGTCTGCGTTTTTACGCGCCAGGCTGCGAGCGGGGAAAGCTGCTCGGTTGCTGCTCCGATGAGGAATTTCTCTGCAAGGTCATCTCTCCTGGCTGCCGGTGCTGCTGCGGCGGCCGCTGCTGCTTCCCCCTGGCTGCGGAAGGTAAGCGGAGGCTCGGGGAGTTGCGCTTGCGATGGGGCAATGCAGGTTGCAGGCGGCGGTCGGTGAGGATCCTGATAAAAATCCTGCCGCGTCTCAAATGTACGTTGACTAGATTACTCCTAGGCGCGCGCGTAACTGGGGAGTAATTCATTCTTCCAAGGAAACGTGCCGAAAAGCGCATGGCCACCGCCATAAGCACGGCGGAATTGGCATCGGCTTAGGATCGCGCTGCGCCTAATGGAAGAAACGGCATCCAAACCCCTTCCTCGCAGTCTTGTTTTCATCGTTTCTCTCCCCTTCTAAGTATGTAAATAGTATTATTATAGAAGTCCCGCTTTGATAGGAAGAAACCACATACTACTAATAGGTGAACTTTGCAGATAAGTTCAGTTGCCCTGGCCGTGGTTGCATTCATTTCAGGCACATTCAACCCTAATATCTTCTTTGCAGATATGTAGTTTTTACTGGCCCTTGTAGGGAGAAACCAAGAAAAAAAAGTTGCATGTGTGTTTTTGGTATGGGGGTGATGGGCAAATATGTTTATTTTAAAAGGAGGTCAGTCCTCTTCTTTTGCATGCACCAAAAATTAAATCAGGTCAATGGCCAACTCAAATTATGATATTATTAGTCACATCCCATAAAAGCTTTGATGCCTTTAGGATTGCTGTTCTCCCCTAGAAAGGAATTGGAAGAGACATCCAATGAGAATTGCCTTGGGGAAGAGGGAACAAACGAAGGGGACTGGATTGAAGCCCAGATGCGTGACATGTGTACTAACTGTTTACGAGCTGCTTTGATGGCTGGATAATTTATTATGAAAATAAAGCACTTGAGGGAACTTTTCCCAGACGCAAGGTCAGGGCGAGAGGCCCTGGTGCTTTCAAGAGGCCAGCTGCTTCCTAGGCTACTTTTGCACAAACGATCCTTCCAGGCGACGTAAAGATCTCAATCCTTTTTAACTACAATTCTGATCTTGCCGGAAGTCAAGGTAAATTGAGGCCTGCACCAAACCAGGTGTTCTCCAGAGCACATACACCACCGTTCTGCTTTGCCTGTTTAGAAGTGTATGTGCGTGAGTCTGTAAGCACAAAACAGGGGAGAGATTCTAACTCATACGCAGCTTTACTGTGAACGCAGCTTTACCTTGGGAATGCATTTAGTCTCAAGAACAGCAATCATCTTCCATATACACCCTTTGTAAAATTGGCAGTAAAAACCACCACTTTCTGGAGCAGACCTTAGCAATTGCACCACCATAGCCATTTTGGAGACCGGACGAAAAGGGACACCCTCATTTGTCGTTGCTCAGAATGAATGGAGGAGAGGATTAAGGGAAGATGCAAAGTTTTGCTTCTTTACCTTCGAACAAACACATTGAGTTTCTTCTTCCTGTTTCCAAGTGGTGGCTTGTCTGTAACAAAAGCTGAACAACAGACTAGGTAATATACACATGTCCCAAGAAGGGCATTTTAACTCTTGGTTTATTGACTTAATTATATTTCATTTGACGGAGGTGTTTTTCAATACTGCCTTCAGAGGGCTTTTAAAAGATAAGGTAGGGAGGAGAACTGCCAACAAACAGATGTATTAATTTTTTATAATAATAAAAAAATGGGTTCACCATATGTCCACTTCAGAGGCTTTTTGTCGACAAATGGTTAACAATATCTGGACAGAGTCCAGAAGGTTCTCTTTGGCATGCGGTTTGTTGAGATGAATGGGAGCTGCAGAGGAATGTGTGAAGCAGAACTTCCCTCCAGATCCTGCCCTCTATCACACTGCTGCAGTGTGTTCGGATTGTGCAGGGTGCCCCCTCCCTACTCAATCCAGTAGATAGAAGAGTCATTGCCATAGCAACACCACTGTCACAGCACCAAAATACTTCCTCAGTACAGGTGATGGGGAAAACAAGACGACAACAACACAACACAAGCCTTGTGGCATCTTCCGTTAATTCACGCGTACGGTTTGGGTGGCTCCTGCTGCCACTGATTGTTGTTGGGGGCATTGCGGATGGAGAGTGGGGTATTTATATTTGTGCCAAAAAATTGCATCCCCCGCATTTTCTGTTTCCCCTGCCAGTTTGCATGTATCCTGGTACTCTTCCCCTGCCCCCTCCATTTTTCATTCATTGATTTTCAGATGGCTCTGCAATGCTTAGCCATGATCGTCAGCCCCCTCAGCGTTGGCCAGGCTGGCTGGGGCTGATGGGAGCTGTAGTCCAGAGACAGCTGGATGGACACCATGTTGGCTTCCCCTGAAAGTCCACAGGAATGTGGCTGGGTCATAGGAAGAAGGCCTAAGCAGGGTGCAAGGGTATATGACTAGCCTGTGTGAGGTGGCTGCCTTGTTGTGCTCACTGTCCCAACAGGGTTGCCAGGAGAACAGACAGATATTCTTCTGGTGCTTTTGCTGAAAGAAAGGGGAGCACAGGAAGATATACAATACAGTCATACCTCATGGTACGTCCGCTTCATGTTACGTTCTTTCAGGTTACGTCCCGCGGCAACCCGGAAGTACCGGAAAGGGTTACTTCCGGGTTTCGCCGCTCGCGCATGCGCAGAAGCGCAAAATAACATCACGCACATGTGCAGAAGTGGCAAATTGCAACCCGTGTGTACGCAGATATGCTGCTGCAGGTTGCGCTCTTTTTATGTTGCGAACGGGCCTCCGGAACGGATCCTGTTCGCAACCAGAGGCCTCTGTTTACGAACTTAATCCGTTCTTGCAGTCCGTTCTTAAACCAAATCCGTTCTTAAACCGAGTCGCGCTTTCCCTCATGAGGCCTCCCACTGCCGGTGCCCTTCCACCGTTTGGCTTCTGTTTGTAGACCGAGGTAAAGTTCGCAAACCGGAACACTACTTCTGGTTTTGCGGAGTTCGTAAACTGAATAGTTCATAAACAGGACTGTTCTTCAACCAAGGTACCACTGTATAGTCCATATTGTCTACCTCGCTCAGTGTTGTCAATTCTCAGAAGCAATGGTTCTCCTACAGTCTGGGGCCCTTTTGCAGGCTGCCAAGCTGAGAGGGTGCCTTCCTGCCACCTTCCCAAAGCTTAGTAAGTGCTTGCTTCAGGAAGGAGGCATGAGGGCTCTGACAGGGTTCTTCCCAAAGCCTGGTTTGCTCTTGCCCAGCTTTGGAAGGAGATGGGAGGGCTCCAGAACCCTGCCAGAGCATCGTGGCTTCTTCCCAAAGCCCGGCACCATATTACCAAGGTCTGCCCCTGCCGGGGTCTTCTTTATGCGAAGCAGGTGCTCTGCCATTGAGCGATTTTTCTGTCCCAGGGAAGCCCTGCTATTAGACAGGCAGCTGTCTCAGGCGGCAGATGCAGAGGGGCAGGTAAGGGACACCACTGTATGTGCTCTGTGCTCCCCAGAGGTATCCTGCTGACCTTGGGTGCCATAGAGAACACAACTGCATTTCCAGCGTTGAACCAAACATCAGCTGCCAGTCTGGTTTGCTTCTGTACATGGAGTAGGTAAAGTTGACATCTTGTCCTGTGCCTTGGGCAGCAAAATGTCTTGGGCTGGTCCGGGTCCTTCCCCAAAGAACTGTTCCCGTTGGTTCCTTGTGCATACCAGGACTCTTTGTTGTTGTTGTTGTTTAGTCGTTTAGTCGTGTCCGACTCTTCGTGACCCCATGGACCAGAGCACCCCAGGCACTTCTGTCTTCCACTGCCTCCCGCAGTTTGGTCAAACTCATGCTGGTAACCTCGAAAACACTATCCAACCATCTCATCCTCTGTCACCCCCTTCTCCTTGTGCCCTCCATCTTTCCCAGCATCAATGTCTTCTCCAGGGAGTCTTCTCTTCTCATGAGGTGGCCAAAGTACTGGAGCCTCAGCTTCACGATCTGTCCTTCCAGTGAGCACTCAGGGCTGATTTCCTTCAGAATGGATAGGTTTGATCTTCTTGCCGTCCATGGGACTCTCAAGAGTCTTCTCCAGCACCATAATTCAAAAGCACCAGGACTCTTTAGGCAAGCATATAATATTGTGGTTTCTTCTCTCTTCTGGCTGATAACAAGTCCTCTGAAAGATTAAAAAAATTGTATTTTTTGAGTTTGCTGTTCAGCTGTGATTCATTGGACAAGAATTATTATTATTTATTAAATTTGTATACCGCCCTATACCCATAGATCTCAGGGTGGTTCACAATTGGACAGGCAGTACCTATCCCCAGACTGCAAACTATAAGCTATAGTGCATGTCCTTCCAGGTATGTCCCAGAAAGAGGCTGGTGGGCCTGGGAAAGATGGCGGCCCTTTCCCCTTAACTTACTTTTATAGCTTTAGGCAACCTGAAATTACAGCAATACTCACGATGTTGGAAAGCAAGGCAGGCAAGACTATCTCGGACCCTCTCTCTGCAGAGAAGCAACATAACTAGAATTGGAAAGAAAAGAGCAAACTCCCTCCTTCCCCTGTTCCCTTCACTTTTCCAGATTTTGTAGAAGGCAAAGGAAATGGCCTGGTAGTCACCTAATTCTGTAAGAATGCTGAAGGGTGTTGGGAGGAGAGAGCGGGGTTCAAACCCCTACTGGGCCTAAAACCCGCTAGGTGACTTCGGGCCGATAACTCAATTTCACCTTAACCCTCAATTTCACAGGGAAACTGGGTGTTAGGGAGAAGGGTTCTAGTCAATGGAATTTGAGTCACTTCTCCAATTTCAACAAAGTGATTTGCCTTCAATGAAAAGCCCAGCCTTTCTTTTGATCTCTTCTTTTGCATGTGTACAGATCCTTCTTCATCCATTTCAGGGAGCATTTGAGCATGTGAAATAATACCAGGGATGGGTGGATTTGGAAGTTTGGTTTTGCTCTGTGTTTTGCATTTTTTTCCCAATCCTAGGTCATTCCCCGCATTTCCAGTCAATTTGCACATTAAAGGCCTCATGAAAATTCACCAGTGAATGTCTCCAAAAACTTTTCCCTCTCATGCAATGCGTTTTTTGCACGTAATTTTCTCAAATATGTGCATTCTAATGCACATTTTACCCTA